ATCTAAACTAATAATCTAAATAATCTAAAGAACATTTTAATATTTCATGCTTTTTAAAAACATCTGTATCTTGCTCACAATGAATTGTTCTTTCTAAACATAGATGGTTTTTAAGTGAAAAAACTGTTCATAATTTTTTTTTAAGATTTTATTTTTTATTTATTTGACAGAGACACAGCGAGAGGGGGAACACAAGCAGGGGGAGTGGGAGAGGGAGAAGCAGGCTTCCCGCTGAACAGGGAGCCCGATGTGGGGCTTGATCCCAGGACCCTGGGATCATGACCTGAGCCAAAGGCATACGCCTAACGACTGAGCCATCCAGGCGCCCCTGTTCATAATTTTTTGTTTCTGTGGTGTACTGAACTGGGTTTTGTAGGAGAGGAAGAGAGTCTGGGGTGTTTTTATTTGTTTTTGCCTTTTATTTGAAGGACTTCATATTTTAGAAGAGAAAAATATTTATGTATAGAAAATCCTATTTCTGAAATACGACCAAAATGTGTAGGAGAAGGCTAATAGAAGTTAGCAAATTGGCAGGAAAATTTTGATGACCATGCATTTGAGTGACAGTCTTCAGTGTTATGGGTACAGAAGCGCAAGTGCTGATGTCACTGTTGGGGAGTCAGTGCCACATCTTGATTAAAATCTTAGTGGACTGAATAATCAAGGTGTATGTGGTAAAGATGATATTGAGTTATCTTAATTTAGCTTCTCTCATTCATTAGGAAATCCTTGGTTTACTTTATTCATCAAATATTTATATAGAAATGAGAGAATTTCTGTTATGCTAAGATCTGGCACACTCGTGTATGTTCACCAGTTTTTTATTTTTCATGGTCTGTTGTTTTCTCCATGTCTTCCTTGCTACTGGCCACTGAGCAATTTGGATTGTTTCTTTTAGTTGATAGGAGCAAAACATCTCCCCCAAATGATGAAGCAAAACCCAATCTATTTTTCTACTTTTGTATTGTCTAATAAAATATTTGTTAGGTGAATTAAAGTAGATGCTAAGCTTCTAAAAGAAGCCCAAATAATTTAAATAAGATTATTTTTTTTAAGATTTTATTTATTTGAGAGAGAGAGAGAGAGAGAGAGCATGAGCGGGGAGAAAGGGGCAGAAGGAGAGGGAGAGGGAGAAGTAGACTCCCCGCTGAGCTTGGAACGTGAGGGACACAGAGCTCCACATGGCGCTCCATCCCAGAACCCTGAGATCATGACCTGAACTGAAGTCAGAGGCTTAACCTACTGAGCCACCCAGGCACCCCTAAATAAGATTATTTTTATCATACTTAAAAGCCTAAAAGTGAGGGGTCCAGACGCTTAGAGCAACTTTGCTCCACACATTGCTCCACACATTCGGGGACCTAGTTTCCTTCCATATTGTTATTCTGCTGTTCTTTAGGAGGGTGTCCTTATGTGCTTGTTGAATTTGGGTCACCACTACTTCTGCCTTCCAGCCTGTTGGAAAGGAAGGAAGTGGAAGACAAGCAATTTCCTTTTAACCAAGTGACCCAGAACCTGCTCATATCACTTCTGCCTTTAGTCTGCTGACAAGAACTTGGTCACATGGCTATACCTAACTGCAAGAGAGGCTAAAACTCTATGACTCTGGAAGAATGGAAGAGTGAATTTTGGAGACTGCCAGAGTGGGTTAGCAGATTTAAAACTACTGGCCAGAAAAAGACTTGAAGATTATCTACACATTGTTTCATTTGAAATACTAAAATACTTCAAGAGCACAGGAATTAGGAGTTGGCTAACTAGAGAATTTAATGCATGCTTATTCATTAATCAGTTTTTATTCCAGTAGTGGATATTTAAATTCCCAAAGTTGAGTAACTATGGAAATTTTTAATATTGCAGCATTTTAATATCCTAGTTTCTTATATATAAGCAGAATCTTTTCAGTGTCTTTGAATCTTACACACACAAAATGGTAGCAGAGATTGTGTGTTCACCCACAGTCACCTTAATAATTTATTTATTTTCTATCGGGACTCTAATCAGATAGAGGGGTAAAGAAGCAGAGCACTTCTGAGCTTCAGAGGCACTACTATGATCTAGGATCTTTTTTAAATTGGATAGGCATGGAATCAGAAACCTTCTAATATATCATCACCCAGATCATTGAGCCAAAGATTTCTTGGAAATTGGAACATGGTAGAGATAGATACATACATCGGTTGTTTTATTTTTATGAGCTACAAGTTGGCATAAATGATAAAACTACTTTTTAGAAAGTGACTTAGGCCAGCACATCTAAGTCAGACCATCTCGTAAAATTCAGAAATAATGTTCTGGCCACTGACATGGGGTTTATTGAGTCTTAAGAGTAAACTGAGGTGTTTTTACTTTACGTGTGTGTGTATGTGTATAATTTGTGTATGTATCTAGCTAGCTACAGAGAGATCCTAAGAGAATTTGAGAGAACTCTAAGGACTGTGAAAATGCTTCATGAAAAAATGTTCCTGCCCCTATCTTCATCTTCACTAGAACTGTGCCTTTAAAATTTATGTAAATCCCTGAAATGCAGTCTTTCCAGTTATTTCCCCTACCAATTGTGCAGACAGTTTGTATGGTAATAGATTGTGTGCTGTGGAGGACACAAATGCATACTGCATGATCCCTCAAAGAAGTTTTCATTGTAGTTGAGAGAGAACAAAATACACATTAAAAAAAAAGTGTATGAAGCAAGTTCTTCAGATAAAGATGTATATATAGATATACATACCTGGATCCTAAAAGCTGGCTATTACCAGGCATTATACAATTTATATGAGTCCAAAGAAAGTAAGAGTAACTTTGGGCCAGAATCATTGGAAAGATAGTCTTCACGTAAACCAGATTGGTAGAAGGAAGGCACTTTTTAGAGAAATCAGCAAAGGTATATAGATTTAAGGTACATATCACATGCTTGAGAAATTACAAAACAGGCTAATTTGGTAAACATGGAAGTTACACAAAGAGATAAGGCTAGACTAGCATTTTGGGGTCAGAGTATGAAGCATTTCTTAAAGCCAGGATAAAAAGTTTGGATTTTTTTGTTGTTGAGACACTGGAAACCATTGAAGGTTTCTGAGTAGAGGATGTTAGAAGTGACTCCTTAGACTAATCTGGTAACTGTACAGAGCAGGTTGAAGGAATTGAAGGAAGGAGGGAAGGGAGCCCATTAGAAAGTAATTGTAAGAATGGAGACATGGCATTGTGGGACCCTGTGATAGAGGCAAGATTGACAAAAGAAAAGATGGATTGGAAAGACATTACCTCAACGATATTAGGTGAGGGAGAAGAAAGATTTGTAAAGATTCTGAGATCTTCAGTCTGAATTACATGGGCAATGTAATCCTTTTGCCAGAAGTATTGAGCATGAGGTAATATTGGCAATTAAAATGAACACGCACACTAGGTATTAGAAGATGAGAAGTGATGGATCTGGAGGTACAGATTTAGAAGTCTTTTGCCTGGAAGTTATAAACGAAGCCAAGGAAGTAGGAAGTGTGAATAAGCTAAGGAAGGCAGTGGGCAAAGAGGAGATCACGGAGTTGAATTTCCATACCTGGTGGAAGGACCAAAACATGCCTTCAAAGAAGATAATGATAGTACACTCAGAAAGGCACAGAGCACCAACAAAGCCAGAAGGGACAAAGAAGTAGACAAGGATCTATTGGGGCAGAGAGACCCAGAGATTTTCAGAAAGGAGAGGTGGTCAAATGCTGTGAAGGTCAAGGAGAACAAGAACCAACAAAACATTGTATTTGACTATTAGGGAGGTGGGGTGGGGAGAGAGACCGGCACAGACATAGTCACATTCCCTTTAGCAAATGCCTACAATGGACAGTAACTGTGGTAGATTTTCTCACATCCATGATTTTATTTCTTCCTCAAAGTAAGATCATGTCCTCCTTTTTTAGGTAAGGAAACAAACACAAAACTTAAGTTTTCTGGCTTCAGGATTCAACCCAAGTCATAGACTTTTTGCTATGTCATGGAGAAGGTCATCTATAAAAAGAATGGGTAAATTCTGGGCTGTGTGTGGTCTGCTGTTGTCTTTTGAATGTTGCCAGAATAAAGAGAATCATTCCACTCTAGCTCTACCCAACACCAGGTGTAAGGATTTTTTGGCTCTATTCTCATAGATTTTTGGTTAAAGGGGCCCTTTGAGTTTATCTAATTGTATAGGTTAGAAACTGAGGTTTGGAGTCCTTAAAGACTTACAATAAGGTCAAACCTGGTTCCAGAAACCTAAGAGCCTTGACTCCGCTCTCGTGCTCTTTATTCTTTCACACTTTCTCTTCTCAGAAATAACAGGTGGCATTTGTAGATGTCTCACTCCGACAACCAGAGCTCCCAAGTTTGTTCTCTGGGATCTCAGTATCATTTCAAACAGGTAGTGCCTACTGTTAAAATGCCTGTGACAGACAGTAAGTATTCGAAGAAGTGAAACTGATTAATTTTAGATTCGTAACCTGTCTCTTTCCCTTTTATTTAATTCAGTCCGATGCCCTGGACAGGAGGGCACACAAGTCATCAGTATCTGCTTTGTACAATGAGTTTTTGTTTGTTTTATCGAGAGAAGACTTAAGTGTAGTCCTCCTTTATACTCTTTTCAAATGATTATTTCACATAGAGTATCTTTAGCCTTGTTTTTATTTAATTTCCTTTGTAAGGGGGCTAGAAAGTACAAATACACAAATTCAACATAAACCAGTACTTACTCTCAAGAACAAATTATTATCTGAGTGGGGGAGGGTATATTTCATCAGTTAAGAAAATAAAACAAACAAAAATCCTCCTATATACATCAGCATTAAACAAAGATGGGGAAAAAAATCCTTTAACTTTCTCTAATATCTCAAGTATGTTTTTGTAACCCGCCTATCTCTTTGATTCACTAGCTCATCCCACCTGCTGCTGCGCATGTATTTAATAACTTCCCTGTTAAGGTGTTTGGTAGGTGAGACCTGCATTTATGGCTCACATGTGCTGCTTTGTGTCTGTTCCAGACCTTTGATGAATGTGTAGCCGAGGGCGGCTCAGACTGTGCTCCGGAGAAGCTCTGGCTTCAAATCCCATTCTTCTGTGGCCACAGCTCCGAATGCTGGTAGGGACATAAAGTTAGATCAAGTTGACAATCGTCTTTATTATCTCTATAATCTGTTTTTCCCAAGTGTGAACATAGTAGTCAAGGGCTAGCTATAGGGAAGTTAGTGAAAGACCAGGCTAAAAATAACATGTAATTAAGTAACATCTAGTTTTATAGTTACCTTTAAGTGCATTGAAAAGATTCTTCATACATCATATCCTTGCAATGTTTTCTCAATGCTGGTTTTTAATTTGGGTTTTTTTTTTTCCATTTTTTGTTTTTTTATTTTATTTTATTATTTGAGAGAGAGCGTGAGCGAGAGTACAAGCAGGGAGGGGGGCAGAGGCAGAGGGAGAAGCAGGCTTCCCACTGAGCAGGGATCCCGATGCGGGACTCGATCCCAGGACCCCAAGATCATGACCTGAGCCGAAGGCAGATGCTTAACCAAGTGAGCCACCCAGGCGCCCCATAGGTTTTTGGTTTTGGTGTTAACATGTTTTGATATATTCCAGCAGAGCTCTTAATTAGAGGCCAGGGATCATTTCATAAACCTCATTTTCTCCTAAGCTTATTGTTTTAGCCATTCAGTTTAGATCAAGAAAAGGCTTATAGGGTAAATTATTCACCTGGTTTTACTGTTAACTGATTTTTTTACTTTGAGAGAAGCCAAGGTTATGGTTGCAGTTTAGTCTGCTAATAAATGTGGGGTGGAAAATAAAGATATTTTATCTTTAATAAAGAGTTTATTTCCTCAGAATGTGCAGTTTTCAGTTTTTTAAAAAAATGGTACATTTTCAAAAACTAATGATGTATGGTGATTAACATAACAATAAAAAACTTTAAAAAAGGTACATTTTTATACATATTTGTTCTAATTGCTTTAATAGGTAAAGTGGAAACAGGAACTCATTCAAAGATAGTGTCTTCCTTGGGCACCTGGGTGGCTCAGACGGTTAAGCGTCTGCCTTCGGCTCAGGTCATGATCCCGGGGTCCTGGGATTGAGTCCCGCATTGGGCTCCCTGCTCCTTGGGAGCCTGCTTCTCCCTCTGCCTCTCTCTCTCTCTCTCTGTCTCTCATGAATAAATAAATAAAATCTTAAAAAAAAAAAAAATAGTGTCTTCCTTAAAACCATGATGAGAAGTGCAAGGAATGCCTTCATTCTTTTTCTCATTATGTGAGACATGTTATTTGGATCACTGTGAACCTTTTTTTCTTTTTTTAAAGATTTTTTTAATTTTTTGACAGAGAGACCGTGAGAGAGGGAACATAGGCAGGGGGAGTGGGAGAGGGAGAAGCACACTTCCTGCTGAGCAGGGAGCCCGATGTGGGACCTGATCCCAGGACCCTGGGATCATGGCCTGAGCTGAAGGCAGACGCTTAACAACTGAGCCACCCAGGCGCCCCAGGATCACTGTGAACCTTAAGGGTCCTACTCAATAGATTATACCAAAGCATAATAACAGCATAAGAAGAACTGGAAACAAAGGAAGAACATTATCTCAATTTTTAATCATATCCTTAGAATGGGGATTGGCAAATTACAACCTGGAGACCAAATTTGGCCCATCACCTGTTTTTATAAATAAAGTTTTATTGGAACACAGCCATCTCCATTTATTATTGTCTATGACTGTTTTCATGCTGCAAGATCAAAGTTAAGTATTTGTAACCAAGAACATGTGGCCTGCAAAGCCAAAGATATTTGCTCTCTGGCACTTTACAGAAAAAGTTTGCCAACCCCCGCCTTAGAGCAATAAAAGGGTATTGCTCTTTTGGACTTTAGTGAGGAGATTTTAATTGAACTTCTTTAGTATATTTCATAGATTCGTTGAACTGGGAGGGACCTTCGAAATCAAGTAATTTTCTCCCCCCCCCACCCCCACCGAAGACATTAATAAAAGGGCATTAAGTCTTCGGATGGACACGTGTTTATTTTCTCCATAATATATAGTGTCAGAGGCATCAAAAATACTTAGCAGATTTCACAGCCAGGTTTTTAATTCCTTTTCTTTGGTTTTAGGAATGTGGGAAGCAGGTGGGCTATGGATCAAGCCAAGTATAACCTAATTAATGAATACTTTCTGGTGGGAGTTACTGAAGAGCTTGAAGATTTTATCATGTTGTTGGAGGCGGCTTTGCCCCGGTTCTTCAGGGGCGCTACAGAACTCTACCGGACAGGTATATAAAGGACGGGTTTCTTTTTAAAGCTGTCCTTAACTTTGTTTGTTTGCAACTTGAAAAATATGTGTGATTTGACGTTTTTTGAGTAAAGCACAAGATACAACTCCAGAAAGGCGGGTATATTGCCTGTTTCTTCTTAGCATTTTCAATACAAAACAGTGCCTGGCACACAGCTGGTGTTCGTTCAGTATTTTTTGAGCAAATAAACATGCATTAGATGATAATTAGAAGGCATTGTAGGAATAGTGGAAAGATACGATCTGCAGAACCAGCCTTCATTAGAGATGTGTATTATTAACTAATGCCAGACACCAAACATTATGACCATATTGCACCTGAGACCTGCCTAATGCTGTTTGGAGTAGGGGCTGGGACGGTGAGACTGAGTCCCGGCCGTGATAATCAGCACGTGCTGTGTCTGTCATGGTGAAGTGCGCTTCAGGGGCCTCGACTGTATGACGTAGCTGAGTGACAGGGCTCTGGTCCAGTCTAATGCGGATTTCCCCCCTATTCTTCGGTAAGATACAATATATGACTCTTCCTAGAGTATGCATATACCCTAGCTTCTCATATGTAGAGAATGTAGTATTAGGTTTGAAAATAGGTATTTTATCATATTTAAAAAATAAACTAGTTAGAGCACCAAACGTTTGAGATTGGAACAGCATGTAAGGCAATAGCCTACACTTTACTGAGTGGTGATCCTTACTTATTTGACATCTCATTCAGTCTTTAACAGGTTCAGGATTTACATTGTAAAGGAATAAATCACAGTTCTACTATGATTAGGGCACCAGTTTCGCCTGAATGATATTAATGCAAAACAGTTACGTTACCGTCCCTCAAAGTGCCACATTAACTTAATCCATTTCTCCACATAAAGAAGCATCGCTATTTTGTGTGTTCTCAGAATTATTCACCTTTTCTTTTTTTCCTTCGTAAGTAGGAAAGAAATCTCATCTTAGGAAAACCACGGAGAAGAAACTCCCAACTAAACAAACCATTGCAAAACTGCAGCAATCTGACATTTGGAAAATGGAGAATGAGTTCTATGAATTTGCTCTGGAGCAGTTCCAGTTCATCAGAGCCCACGCTGTACGGGAAAAAGACGGAGACCTCTACATCCTCGCACAAAACTTTTTCTATGAAAAGATTTACCCTAAATCGAACTGAGTACAAGGTGTGACTCTTACGTTCTTGAACTAAAACTTTGACCCTGTCTTCACCTTTGTTCTCGGCCCCACAAGTCAGGTTGCTGATTGGTGTGTAAGACTGTGTGTATTGAGCCAAGTTAGGGAACAGTAACACCGAGGAGGTAGATGCTGGCTGGTAAGTTTCAGTGGCCTAAGAGGTTTCAGTTTTGGCCTTTTTTTCTTTTTCTTTTTTCTTCTTCTTCTTCCTTTTTTTTCTTTTTTCCTGGTTAAATTTTGGTGGGAGTTATAATCTCCTGCTTGGAAAAAGCCTGCACATCCCCTAAGATAAACACATAGCGGGTCTAATTGGAGGCTAAATACAATTTCAAACACAAGTTCTGATACTGTCTTTTTGACAAAGCATTTTTTTTCCAGCTAACCATGAAGGAAGATGAATCCATTTGCTACTTCCGCCCTCACCTGGAGGTTTGGGTTATACACCTCTACTGAGTAGTGTTATTAACTGTTTGGCAGTGTGTGTTTTGTCTCTGTGAATCATGTCTCATGAATTATATTGGAATGTTTGATCCTATTTGCTAAGAATGTTTCTGCTGTAGTTGGAATTGCCCACATTTATGTAGGTCGTTTTAATATTCTTTAAAAAAAAAAAAACATCATTAGTGTTAAAAACCAATTTTAAAAGAGTCAAAGCAGTATTTCTTATTCCCGTCTCCCCAGTATCTAAGACTGGGGAGACACTTCAAAGAATGTTGACATTGTCAGGAGTTTTAGTTAAGGCTTCCACACATTAATATCAAAAAAGTAAGTTTAGTATTTGTTCTTCCATGGGTTATTTGTAGAGCAGTATACAGACATATTGGTGATTCCATATTATAACTCCATTAGTGAGCTGTGGTATGGGTAGGATTTTCCTACTTCTGTACTTTTACTTGTAGACTATTTTTACTAAGGTGCTTTATAATGTGTTTTAAAGCATTGCATTTACAAAAAAAGAAAGGAAATTGCTGTAAATATTGCATATTTTATGTATTTGGACCAAAAGGTTATAAGTAATTAGGTAAAAGTGGTTTTGCACCAGTTTTATTATTCAAGTAAAATCATCAGACCTACTGTTCTTGTAGTTCTCAATTAACTTTACTGTTAAACATCACTGAAATGAACTTCAGTAACCTTTCAATTTTGATACACAGAACATTATTCATAATTGGGGGCAGTAATTAGAGTGGAAAGAGTACCGGCCAAGGAGTCAAAGTTTGATTTTTGGTCCTGGCTCTGCCACTTATCAGCTGTGTGATCTTGGGCAAGTCACTTAACCTCTCTTTGCCTCAGTTTCCTCATCTTGAAATGAGGAGACTAATACCTGCTGTACCTACCTCACAGGGGTGTTGTGAGGAATAAACGAGACAGCACGTGAAAGCACTTTGGAAACCGTTAACGCGATGTAGAAACATAAGGGGTGATGGAAACATCTATCACGTACAGTTCCGTACCGTTCATTTTTTAACAAAGAAAGGGAAAAGTCTACTTCTAAGCTGGTTTGAAAAAAACTGTTGATCTTGATATAAATTTGTGTTCGATAAGTATCTTCTCTGTTTTATCTTCCCTGTTTCAACAACTATGGAAATATGAAACACCTGTGAACTCTTAAAGATTCATGAACAGCTGCTTGAGTTCAGGAGGTTCCGTGTTTGAAAAAGACTTCGTTAGCTGACTCAGGGCAGGGGAAAATGTGCTCTTCAAATTTGGGAGATTTGTCTGTTTTTATTTTACGTTACCATTCAGAAATGGTAGCTATTTTGTACCTCTGGTTGTTCAGGTATATTTTGCAGAGTTTAATTTCCCTGTGCCATCTTACCCTAAAAGAATAATCTTTACTATGTTTAATTTAAATAAATACTGTTCCTGAACAAGGCCTCACCAAACTAGGTAAAGAAACATTTTAGGCAGGCTGCTTTTTAAAGGTTATTAATTGTATGGGGGTGAGGAGGGAGCATGACTTCTCAAAAAACAAACAAATTTAAAGAAAAGCTGAAGGAAGTTGGCAGAGAGAATCATTTTAGTACTCCACCCCCTTTACAGGAAAACATTAAGAGAACATCGATAGGTATACTTTCCTTATTTGGCTTTCTTTTTGTGTGTGTGTTTATTAACTTTTATGGATATTTATTGAAAATCTCTACAAATTATTTCCTTGCCCAAAAGGAAAGCACCACTTCAAGGGTGGGGTGTTTGACTTTTAATCTGTTAAGGAAGCCCCAGTATGCAGGTTATTCTTGGAGGACACGCTAAAATCTTTAGGTGCATTAACTCTTAGGAAACTAGAATAGCATGTAGTGCCCTGGGTCATGGGTTTGGTAAACTTTTCCTACAGGGGTCCGGAGGGTAACTCTGTAGGCTTTGCTGTCTGTACATTTGAACACAAGAGCCGCTGTAGACAACACAGACCTGAGTGAGCATGGCTGTGTTCCGATAATCCTTTATTACCAAGACAGGTGACATGCCAGATAGGGACCATGGGTTGTAGTGTACCAACCCCAATAATAGATGGTTATTTATGGAGAAACCATTTTTTAAATCTGTATTCTAGTGACCTAAAAGAGTTTATATACTTTAAAAGCTCCTAACTTATATCCAAAGAATAGCTTTCTTAATCAGGCGGTCTCTCCCACAGATTCATGAACTTTTATGACTTAGATTGCTTCCAGGTGGGCATGTTTTCTTTCCCAGTTTAACAGTTCATAAGAGAGGCATGTATTCTATCATCTTGTAGGATGGGTTAGGGAGTAGCCTTCCTGGAGACGGAGAAAGGGTTGGTTAGATTGAATCCCGTCTGGTCCAGTACAGTCCTGGGAGTCTGACGAGCGCAGAGTCCTCGTAATACCTAACTTTATAATAAAAAAAAAAATAGAACCACTGAGACAATAATGTATTTTTTAAAAGTGGCAAATGTGGTTTTCTTTTTTCAGCCTTTGCGCTTTTTCAGTATTTTGACCATAGGGAATTTTTTTTTATAATACAAAAGCAAATTAACCACTCTGAATTTTAAAAGATGATGTTATGTGTGTATGTGTGTGTGTGTATATATATATATACATATGTTTATTTCCTAAAAGAGGAAAAAGTACTTTTTTTGTTCAACTTGTATCAACTCCTGTTTTCTAATTGCTGTGAAATGGCAACTGTTGATAAATTATTGTGACTGTTTTAAAATGTAATGGGGAGGATATATTTTGATTTTACGGAGCTTTAATCTGTAAAGTACCACTTAAATATATCTGGTAGCAACACTTAAAATATTGCATGGGGATTACTTTTCTATCATCCATACCCATTTGTGCAACTTTGAACATATTGGGTGCTTCTGAATTCTTGATGATTGGGTTTAAATTATTGAAAATTAGAGAACTTAAACTTACTGACTTTTAAACTTTAAATTTTCTTTTCTATTCTTAAAATTCAGTTAATGCCTATAATTTGAAATCTGTTGCTCTTTCTCAATATTATGTCCTATTGGAAATTCCTAAAATTGTTAGTGCCATCAGTGATTTACAAACAGTATTTTGATATTGCAGATGATTTGCTCATTGTATTTGCATAGTTAGAAAGAAAATAGTTTGTAGACAATGATTCTCTTTTTCTAATAAAATAAAATTTCTTAAAAGCACTAGAGAATTTAAAGGCTGGTTCCCAAGTGCATAGCTGGTATTTTAATTTATATTCAAATTCCACAGAGAGAACATCTGTGTAAGCCATCTATCTGGGTTTTCTCGTTGATCATTCTCAAACACACCTATGGTCCTAGAAGCCTTTATTATGAGAAGTACCATGCTGTACGGTACTGTAAACTTTTATGCAGTTTGTCTGTAAGAGGCCCAGGTGCTTCTACTTTATGATTTGAAAATTCGCCTCTTCATAAATTAGTGCTATTTACTTTGAGAGGAAGCAGGGCAATTGCTGTGAAATTTTTGCATCCATTTACCCTATGCAGAATTGCTGTACCATGCCAACTAAACTGCTGCTCAGGCAGCCTTTTGAGGGAAAAGCATCCCTGTTTCAAATGCACTGCCAATTCAGCTCCTCTGGAGTGGAGCTTACTTTCTGATTTCCTGCAGTGGGAATTTTAGAGATTGAAATGGGCGATCAGTTAGTCAGATTTATCCTATAATTTAAGTTCATGTAGCTTTGTGACCTTTGCAGTACTATTTATAGAAGGACCCTGATGGTGATGATCTCTTTAAAACACATTACTGGTGAGCCTATGATTTAGACCCACTGGTGCTGTCTGTCTGATTTTTTAGACAGCTTCCCCAGCTTTCTATTGAGAGTCAGGTATGTGAGCATCTCTAAAGCAGTGTTGAATGTAATTTTGAGAAACATGGGTTGTCTATTTTGACTTTTATTTTCTGAGTACTACAGACAGCTAAACAGTGCCTTTCCCCCTCACAATCCATGTTGGAAGATGCTCACTCCTTCCTCTGTCTCGGCTCTCCCTCTCTTCTCCCTCCTCTCCCATTCAGTTGATTCATTTATGCAATACTGTTTCCAACTTGAAACCATTTTGTCACATCTGTTGGAGAGATAATCACTCCTTTTCCTTAACATTCTGCCAGCTTTCTGTTGTTGAAGTGTTTCAGTTGATTACCTGATGCAAAAGCTATAAAATAAACACTCAGTGGGAAGGGGAAAAATGGTTTGGTGTCCTGTTTTAATATTTTCTTCCGTAGCCTTGACACTGATGGACATTTTCCAAGTGGACTCAGTGTTGAATATCTCAGCTATCACTGCCACCAGAAACCTATGCATCATCATTGATCTGTAATGATTTTCTGGCTTATTTGTGACATGCAGACCGACTGACATGCCCCTGCCACTTTTTGCTTCGTACTTCATCATTAGTATTGAAATTGCAGGTAGAAAATTTACAAGGTATACTTAGGATATACACCTAATTAGAAGAGTAAAGGAAATTGGGAGGGGTGGGTAGTTAACCTGATTAACATTTATTACGCAGTGCGGACATACCCATAATGTTTTTACAGAATACACATTTTTTTTTTTTTAAGATTTTATTTATTTGTTTGACAGAGAGAGACACAGCGAGAGAGGGAACACAAGCAGAGGGAGTGCGAGAGGGAGAAGCAGGCTTCCCGTGGAGCAGGGAGCCCAATGTGGGACTCGATCCCAGGACCCTGGGATCATGACCTGAGCCGAAGGCGGACACTTAATGACTGAGCCACCCAGGCGCCCCCAGAATACACATTTCTAATAATTGTTTTTTTCACCCTTAACGGAGAAACTCTCAATTGTGTACATCGCCACTTCCCAGCCACTGGCTCACTCACTATTCTGAGCAACTAATTGGTTCT